TTTTGTAAAACATTCCTAAATTGTGATGAATTAAGCTGAACCAAGTGCAGCTTTTACACCTACTCATTCGACTCGAGTAGGTTTTTTATTTTAACGTGATGTCGTGATTCAAAAGCTACAAAATTGGTTTTTGAAACTTTTTGAAGTTTGATCTGTAGCAATGAAACTGCAGTTTTATGCAAAAATTATTAAATGCATTTGATCGAGTGCAACCTTACGTTACGACTCTACGTGTCGATACAATTTGATTATTATCTAAGCCTTTGCCTCAGGTTGAAAAAATACGGTTTTTTTTTTTTACAATTTCGATGTCCGGTTAATAATAATAATAATAATAAATAACAGAATTAATTTTAAATTTGAAGCCGTTACATTTGTTTATTAAATACATACAAATTTCACGATTAAGTAATAAAGTCATGAGATCATCCTCCTAATTTTTTTTTTTTTTAACATCATTATCCTATTTTGATTTTATTAACCTTTGCCTTTTTTCCTTTTTTTTTTTTGTTTTTCTTACTCCTAAATATTTAATTTTCTCATTTCCCAAAAAAATCACAATCTTCATTTCTCATCACGTTTTATGTTTTCTATTATTTTAATAATTTTCCTTTATTTTTTTTTCGTATTAAATATCTCGTTCATCTTTTTTTTTTTTTTTTAAATATTTATTATCCATCGTCAAATCCTATTTTCTCACGTACGGTTTTATTTGTATTAAATGTCATTTTTAAGAGAGAAAGAGAGAGAGAGATAGAGAGAGAAAAGAGATAGAGAGAGGTTTTTTTTTTTTTTTACTTTAGTTTTAAATTCTGCAGTGTTGCAGGTAAAGGTTTTTGTGCGATGCCGCAAATTGAAGGAGTTTTTTCTCAGTTCGGTCATGAATGTCGGAGGGATCGAACCGCCGGACTCTTCGTTCGAGTCCTTCCCTTTAAATTCGTCCATAATAAATCGCGGTTATAATAAACGGGAATCGAGATTACATCCTGTTAGTAGATTTATGACTCCCGTTTTAGGTACTACTACTACTACTACCTATTTTTTTTTTTTTTTTTTTTTTGAATAATATCACCTAAATATTTTATTTCGAACAAAAAAAAATTTTTTTTATTTATTTTAATTATTATTATTATTATAATTATAGAACATGAAAATCGTGCCTTAATACCTACGACGCCTTTTTCTGGTAAACGTTGTCGTTCTAATTGGCCCCCCAGTATAAAAAGAGAAGAATCTGTTGCATTGAATAATTTAAAAAAACGTGTCGGATATTTTAAAGTTAAAAATACGTCAACTTTTAAAAATGTATCGAATTCGGATAAATCAGGAGATAATAATAATATAAATAATAAAAAATTTTCACAAAATGAAAATTACGAATTAAACGATTTAAATAACAGGATACTTTTGCAAAAGGTAAGAATTAATTTTTTTTTTTAAATACAAAATAAAGGATAGATGAGAAAATTTATTATCATTATTATCATTATTATTATTAATATAAAAAAAAGGAAATGAATTAGGTATTAAAATTCTAATCCTTTGTTTACTTTTATCCCTAATTTTTTTTTTTTTTTACATAAAATATTTTAATATATATATAATTTTTCTTTTTCTCTTTAATAAAAAAAAAATTTTTTTTTACGTTCAGAATAATAAAAAATCCTTAAGAAAAAAAAGGAGGGAGTGGGAGGGGGAATGGAAAAGAAAAAGGAAAACCATTTACCTAATCAATTATTATTTAACGAATGTATTTTTTGCATGTTTATAAAAAAAAAAAAAAATGAAAATCATTTTTTTACAATCACGAAAAATTTTAATTAAAAATTTTCCATATGAAAATAATAATAATAATTTTTCATTTAAAAAAAAACCTTTAACGAATTCTTTTATTAGTCATTTTAACCCCCCCCCTCCCCGTAAAATTATTAAGAAAAAGTTGTAAAAATCTTTAAAAGAAAGACATTTTCTCGTCTCCAACATTTTTATCCCCGTATAAAAAAAAAAATTTTCTTTCTCTCTTTCTCTCTCAATCTCTCTCTCTCTCTCTCTCTCTCTCTTTTTTTTTTTTAAGTCAATATTTAAACAAATAAATTTACTTTTTTTTTTTAATAGCATTTTTTTTTTTTTTTTTTTGGCTGGGTTTCGTGCTAACGCAATGCGCTTCATCTCTCTTTTCACTCCCTCTCCTATCCCCCAATTTTCACTTCAAAAAGAAAAAAAAATTTTCCCGTTTCTCCCCTTAAAAACATCTTTTTTATTTTTTCTTTCTTTGATTTTTTTTCTTTTCCTTCTTTCTTACTTTTCCTGGATAAAGAAAAAAAAATAAATAAATTCCTTTTTAAATTCAATGTTTTTTTTTTTTTAATTTAATCCTATCTCTTATGACTTTAAATTATTCCCCCCCTCCTCCCCCCTTAATCAATTCAAGTATTTTAAAATAAAATGAATAAAATCAATAAAAAAAAAAAA